GTTGACTGCGCAGCGTACTTTCGAAATGTCAACAACCTATTCTCATAACCTCGAATTCTGCGGAGTTTGGTGTTCACATAAATAATCCATACAACGCCAAACATTTGAATGGTTAACTCCAGACAAGGTAGTGCCTGTGTAATCTCCTTATTATCCACTCTTATCAAGCAGCTTCTCGTATTCAGTTAATTAACTGCTGCTCCATTTGTATCTCCTTGGGCTGTGTGTATCGTACAAACGTGGTAGGAATGTATCCGGTATTTATTTGGTGCCTGGCAAAGTGTCAGTGGTTGTGCAATGTTCTGAGTGCACCTGGAAGGCTCTGCTGCAATTATGTCCAATACTTGTTCCTCTGTGTCTTAAACACGAACATCAATTGTCGTCCACTATCTTCCTGGAACCACTCTCCTCGCCCTTTGTAGGCTTGTTGAGTTCTTTCAGCTTCTGCTATGTTACTGTAGCATTTCACCTGAACTATACGCATAACAGCAAATTCGTAAAAGGAAATTGAAAGTATGTCACCGTTTGACAAATTATTGTTGTTATTGACAAAGGCTGTCTACTTCTAACTGTCTGTTAATGGCAAAAAACATCATTGCCGCTTTGACTTTCCATCAAAAAATTGAAGAAGAGAACTTTTTTAATATCGAAAATTTTCGTAATTTGAAGCAAAGATCGTCATTTTTCCTTTTGAATGCTTAAGTATTCCAATATGCTTCCAATTAAACATGGAACAATTTCAAAATAATGCTTAATAACAAAGTTGAAATTCGATCTTCAACTGTTAACATTTTATAGAAATTTTCGAAAAAAAAATTTCTATTTTTTTCTTCTGATTTTGAATCACCCTGTATATTTTGATATCCGTTGGCTTAATTAACTAATAGGATAAAGGTGAAGAAAACGCAACAAAGCAATTGGTATTATTATTGGTATCGATTGTTCAACATAACATGATTTTTGTTAATATGGTGATCTTCAAGAGGGCAATTGCCATAACTGGTAAGAAATGTAAAGCAACCAACAAAATCAAAATAACAGGAAGTTATTAAATATGAGAGTAAATGCTTAATAGTAAGAACATTAGCACTAATTTTTCTGAAAATTTGTCATATTCGGGACAAGGAAATTTTATCCCATGCAAAGAAAGTGTACAAAATGGAATAAAAAGTCCAGTTTTGGTACTTAGTCGTCCCTTTGCCGTTCAGTYAAATGATCACCTTTTTGKGTTTTCCTGTSTCACTTTTTACAAGAACTTTGAGCTTGTTGAACTTGATTTTTGCATTTAACGGTAGTCTCTTTTTAACTTTGATGGTGATTTCTTATACGTTTATTTTCAGYTACGTTCATCGAGCTCCTGGTGTTTAGTTTAATTCGTATACATACAGGYAGGCTAAACAAAAACGTAACAACAGCCATTTCGGGTCTGTAGAATATTTAACTCGAAGTACTTACTTTTCATTTTCAGGAGGTAACATTTACATAACAAAAGGCAACCCCCCGCCATCCCTTATCCAGGGTGAAACCCACCCCCAAAATCTTAAATAGAATAGTGGGTTGAGTTACACTTTGTTTGAAGGTCTTTGATTCTCTTTGCGGTCAGATCTAACTTTAAAAGTTTACAAATAACTTCTGAAGAGTTTCAAACCTTGTGATCTCGAAAAATGGCGGTCATTTTCAATATTTAGTGGACTGCTCTTAATGAAAGATTGTTTTCTTACAAAGCTTGTTAAAGAACTGGGACTATTTTCCAACCAAAATGTGGGAATGTTAGAACAAACAGTTGTTGAAGAACCGGTAAAATAACATAAATTAAACCTATCAGCCCACCATACCATTTAAGATTTTGAGAGTTCTAAAAACGTTCTTCTTAGAAATGTAAGTTTGTCGTGTCCGAGCTATTGTTGTATACTCTAAGAGCATTCACTTACGATTAGATACCATGTATGATATAGTCGAAATAAGTAAAATTTTAACCGCCTTGTAATTGATTGATTTTACATTGAAATTGCAGTATGTTAAGGAATAAATTTATTTTTTTTCAGCACATTATGCACAGCGAAACCCCAGATACTGCTGAACAGTATATAGTGGGTGTCCCGGAATATGTGAGCATGCTCTCGGATTTGTACAAGGGACCTCAAATAAATATACCACGTTTCTACAAGTGTATTTTCCAGAAGTCCCCCCTACGGAGATCTAGACCTCTAAAGCTATCTGAGAATCGATTTAGTTTTAAATAACTTTTAGAATACTTCATGCAATTTAATTATTTTTCCAATGAACATTACTACATCATTGCTCTTAAAAAAGACACATGAAAACATTTTTAGCATTTCGGTTTGCCAGGGATAGACTAGCTGGGGCACAATAATAGTCAATTTTTTCACCCTTTACAATGGAGTCACGAAAATGATGTATTTAGGTAGCTTTAACCATAAACTAAAAAAAAAAGACATTCATATAGATGATCACAACGTTTTTCGCGGAAAAAAATTGTATTGAATACGGATTTTAATGCATGCATTGGTGGGCTGTGTTTTTTGTTATTTATTAGTTGGTTTTTTAACGTGCGAAAGTAAGGTAAAAATTAAAAAGTACTTCTGAAAGAGTGGATCGTCGTTTAAAAGATACGGGTAATAAAAATATTTCTGTACTTGCATTATCGTATCTACTTTTTGAGTCAATAATTTTAGAAACGTTTGCCAAAGCCAAACACAGTTGTGGAATCCAAGTTAATCGCAATGCAGTTGCTGAAGAAAATATTTTAAATGCGGTAGAAGCAGATCCTTCAATAAGTGTTCGGAAATTAATGTAAATTAATCTAAATATTTTAGAATCGTTAAGAAACAGCATTGCATCCTTATCACCTACAAAAGATTCAAGCACTTCTTCCTCAAGACCTTCCATGAAGGATGGAGTTTTCAATCTGGCTTTTACGTATGCACAGAAATAATGCAAACTTTGGCGGTTCAGTTATGTTTACGTACGAAGGTGGATTTTCTAAGCATGGAGTAATAAACTCCCATAATTTTCGTTTATCGGCAGAAGAAAATCCGCATGATTTTATTGTGTCTCAGAATCAACACCAGTTTCAACCTATTAATGTATTGGCTGGAATCATCGGATAATATTAATAGGACCATACGTATTGCCTAACAAGTTGACCGGAGCACTTTATTTGGAATTTCTCCAAAACAACTTGCCAGAACTTTTAGAAGACTTACCTTTGGCAATACGGCATGCGTTATGGTTCATGCATGATGGGGCACCACCCCATTTCAGCCTGGCAGTTCGAGAACATTTAAACACGCAATTCGGACAACGTTGGATAGGAAGAGGAGAACCCGTGGCTTGACTCGATCGCCAGATTTCAATCCTTTCGATTTTTTTGGCGGATATTTAAAAATTTTATTGTATGCCAATCCTGACGACATCAGGGAAAACTTATTAGAAAGCATTAATTTTCATTGCGGCCGAATAAGCACCAATGCTCAAGCATTGTGGAGAACGCAACAATCTGCAATGTTGAACCTAAATACAAAATTGTTCAGTAAATCCTTCTTGGATCATTGGTCAATCACTGTTCATCTTTCAAGTTTCTCCTAATTATAGTTTGCCAAATATCGAATGCGGCGGTTCCCGTTGGGACACCCTGTATAATTTGTTAAATAATGTTGCAACTTTCGATCTTGAGTTTCCATCGCTATTCAAGCCATCAACGAGTTGATCTCATCAGCGTATTTGATGATATGTGGGCAATATTCATGTGAATCTACTGAATAATTAAATATCACTCACCTGGGAATCGAAAGGTAGGTATCATAGTTCAACATCACAGGGTTTTCTAATTAAGCAGCCATTATTTACAATGCAAGTCTTCTATTCGATCACTATATTGCACACACTGTTCAATTATCCATTAAAGCTTAACAAAAATAATTCGAAGTGCATTTTTCGGTTTAAATGAATCCATAAACAAACTACTTTGGAAGCAACATTTTAAAAATCGCAGTGAACTGTCAATTCCTGCGAAATCACTTGAAGCGATGCTGCCCGACTTTGATTTTTACTAGATATTTTCACAGACAATACACTACATATCCACTTAAACGTTATATAAATCATCTAATTAATTAAATATTCGCATGCCCTTTTTTGCACTGCCCTTAAAAAAATGGTGTGGCAACGACGCTTCATTGGTTTACCTGTTCTGACAAATTATTACGCAGTTTGTATTTTGGCTTTCAACTATTTCTAGCTGTCAAAAGATAAAATCCATCGCAAAAATATTTTTCAGATTATAAAACACACTTTGTTAGTGATTGTGTATGTGTAGTGAGTAAATAATGGTTGGCCCATTGACGAAAGCTCTATTTCCTGATCATATTTGCGTTTGGAAAAGTTCATGTGAGTAATAGTCATAAGTATTGCAATAAGGCAGGCTTTTCTATAAAATAGGCAAAACATTGTTTTGTTAAAGCCGCGATTTATGTCCGAGCACATTGACTGAATATTGCGTATTAATATCGACTATTATTGGTAAGTTCCCCCAACAGCCATATAGTGTGTCCCTTCAACAGCCATATAGTGTGACACAAAAGTGAATTTAATTTTCTTTACCTACCCATCAGTCGTGCAAAAATTGTTTGATTCTTCAGAGGAGACTTTTTCTCAATTTTTAAAGAACTCAATTTTGTCTATTTACGCAACCGTTGAGCCAAAAACTATTTCCGACTATTTTAGATTATGTCGACCGTAAAATGAAAGTGACGCACGCTGATTTTGGCGAACTGAACAGCGATTTTCGAAGTAAATTGCCGAATTTGGAGCKACCAAAATCCAAAATCCAAAATCCGAAAGCCAATATTGAGAGCCGAAAACTCACTGTTTCATGCAAAGTAGAGCAACGTTTTGAMATTTATATGTATACCAACAAAGTAAAATCTGATTAACCATGACAACARCAATTGTTTAATGAAACARTAGGTGAACTTACTTTGACATTTGTTTTTATTTGTTAAAACACGTCAAAAGTAATACAACTTTTTGACGATGTGTTTAAAAAGGCGGTTTTACTGACAAGAAAGTCTTAAATAGTAGTACGAGGTTTGTTTTATAGTTTTTTGAAAATAGTCTGTGCTAAATTCGTCATGACAAGAGGAATTTCAATTTGAAAAAACTTGAAGCAAATAATGGTAAATGCATTCAAGTAAGGCGCTAAACAAGCGGATATTTAAAGACAGTTTCACAGACCTTGGTACAGTGTATCTTAAATAATTTTACCCTATAATAAGAGAAGACATTTAGACAAGTTACCAAAATCGGAAGGGCCAAAAAAGAACAACAGTATTGATCGACAGACGCGTTTAACACGCGTTTGGTTTAGAAACAGTTCAGAAAAGATTGGTAGCAACAAAGCTATTTAGCAGACGACCAGCTAAAAAACCGTTCATTTTGGGAATAAATAGAGCAGCAAGATTTGGATACGCCCGACGTCATTTAAACTGACCAGTCAACGACTGGAAAAAAGTTCTATTTACTGATGAAACAAGATAGAAACGATTTATAATGTAGTTATGACGGGATGAGACGTGTGAGGCGACCAATCGACACAATGTTTAAACCCAAATATGTAACTATTATTAAACATGGGAAAGGAAGTGTTTTTATGGGGTTGTTTCTCATCGATTGGAGTAGGCCCTATCCGTTTTATTAATGAGACGATAGAGCGAATTTTTCCATAAGGATTTAATGCAAAATACTATGCTTAAATATGCAGAATGGTAAATGCCACTGCGTTTAATTTCCAACAGGATAATGATTTCTTCAAATTCTCTCTTCAGAAATTGTTTGATTGTGGTTTTTGGAAAATATTGTTCGAGTTTTGGAGTGGCCTGCACAATTCCCAGATCTAAACCCTATTGAAAATTTGGGAGGCAGGAGGAACGTCGCATTCGAACTCAAATTTTTCCAAACAAACAAGGTTTGATCAAAAAAAAATAGTGAACCAATATTCCCCAGAATCTCATTCATAAGTTGATTGCTTTAATGCTGCGTCATTGTCAACAAGTAATTATATCAATGGGTATGCATTCGTTACTAAAGCTTTTTATTGTTATTGTTCTAGAATGTATTAAATGTTTTTTGCGGAAATAAAACTCTATGGACTGCAATTTGTTCCTCTATTCCTCCTGTACTTTTCTCGCCCCTATTCTCGTCGTTTTATATGATAAATAGCATTTATAGTGTTGAACATGATTTAGAGCACCCCAAAATATTTGCAAAAAATACTGTTAGTGTACATTCTATGTTTTATTGAACTAAGTGAAAAATCGTAATCCTTGGTATTTGTTTGAACAAATAGTAGTGAAAATTAACTTTGTTGCTTTACTGTTGCCCGATGGTGCATATATGTAGGTAAACCCAGTCGGTTCTGTTTTGTACTAAAATATAAGCTGATGATAACACAAAGGGAATCAGACAATATAAACTAGGGTGGATTGAATATTAATCAAATATGCACCGTACCTGATTAAGCTACCCTTGCTAATTTGGCCACCCTTCCCAAAAAGGATTAGTGAGAGGACCCCTTTGAAATTCGAATCTATTTGCATTAATTAAAAGTAGCATGTTACACACTATCACGGGTTTTAAAATGTTCTCCAAAAGTCTAATTAGTTGCATAGTATTCATTTAGGACTAAGTTCTATATTTTTATTTCCGCTTTGAAGTGGTAAAAGTGTTTTAAAATAGGTGGGGCAATTCATTTAAATTGAGCTGTTTGTGTTGAAGATATTTTTCAGAAATCGTATGATTTCTACCAAAAAAAAACACATTTTTCAAACATCACACTTAAGAAAAAATAAGTTATGATTTCTGAGACTTGCGGCCAGTAGAAGCCACAGTAACATATTTCGCTATTGTCGATTTATTAAAAAAACAGGTTTGAGTTAATTTCAGTTTCTCTTAGACACTCTAAACTTTTGATTTGGTAAGTTACGTAGAGATCATATTGATATAACTATTATGTTCGTACAAAACCTACACAGTTATATGATATTTTTCGTGAGCAAATTTAGTTTTGTCTCTAAAAGCTTTATGATAAAACACATAAACTTACACTGCATTTAAGTATAGATTTTTTTAAAAATATTTATTACCTATATGTTTTGGAAAACTGCTAAAATTAGTTATTTTATGAAAAACAGGTAAACAGCATATATTAAATAGATGACGGAAAATAAATCTAACTCAACAGGGCTTGAATGAGTAACTGTATAGTCATGTAATTAAATTAAACTAATGATTCGAGCAAGAGCTTTTAATCTAATAGGTTCAATAATCAGGAGCGGTTTAAATAGATATAAATATCACGTTGGATTAATATAATTAAATTGAAGAAGTACATTTGCTTATCCGGAACAAAATATTTAAAATACGTTTGATAAAATTGTGTCATGGATGGATTTGGGCATATGGTTTACAAATAGACTAAATATGAGGGATGTGCGTAAAATTTACTTAAATTGTGAAAAGCTGACTACCTAAAACCATCTGCAGTTCAAATCGCTGTAGTCCGAAATAGAAAAATAAATTTCCCCGTAGAGCCTTAAATCGAGGTTTCTTCAATATTTTCGTAAATTAGTTAACTTACTATTTACCAGGTTGATTCAAAGTTTGTGAATTTTATTAAATGGGCCAATGTTAGCTGTCCCGATATTCTGAAAGTTCGGTTCCAAATACTATTTTCCCACATTTATTTCACAAAGAGTTCAATTTAATAAATAATCAAACCAGTTCTTCCGATGGACTTTAAGGAGTAGGAGGTCACTTAAAATTTTGATCACTAATGAGAGAAAGCATTGGACACTGCTAAACCATCATACGCCACCATTAACTATGAAAAATTACTTAAAAAAAACACACCTCCAAAGTTATGTTGCTCAGTTTTGTTTCATTTTTATTTAAAATATTATAAAAGCTCTAATTTTTCGTGTAGTCAATCATTTTCTACATTTTTCTGATAATAGATGATTTTTACAATTTAATTATATCTAATTTGTGAGCCAATAAAAAAATTCCGTGATAAATTAGGTAAAATTAAAAAAAACTGATTGTGAGTGAAGTGAACAACACCGACATAATTTTTTTTTATATTATTACATTAGGATTCTATGTATGATAAATACTGCAAGAGCTAAGATTTCGCTGATGTTTTGCTTGAAACCAAAAATGTTTTCGAGCTGAAAGCTCAACATTTTTGTTTTGAGATAACTCGCCAGTTTCGACAAATCGGTCCATAAATTTATTTGTATCATAGTGAAAATTCACACAGATTATTAATTCTGGGCAGTTGCTTTGAGAACTTTATTAACGTAACTTTAAAAAAAATAATCTGAAAAAGTAGAAAGTAGTAAGTTTGAAATATGTAAGTATGTACATAATATTGCCCATTTATACAAACTATTGCATTTTTTCAATAACCCTACTAAATACATTTGAAAACCCTATAGTGATTCTTCTCCATTGCTGGACTACTTATTTGATCAGCATTAACTTTTCTCCACCATGGGAACGTAGGTGATTTATACGAATAAAAAGCAACCGTTCAATGAAAATGTAACACATATATCGCAGTTTTAGAAGCCGATAGTTTTTACACAAGCAGAAAGTATTCTGAGATAGGATGACCGAAGGAGAACTGAAAAGAGATGAAATGTTTAAAACCTGTTTATCATTTGCAATTTCGGGAAATATTGGCATTTTTTCATCTGGACTTCGTCGGTATTKTCTGTAATTTCCAGAGACTTTCCAAGGAGGTTAGATTTTGCAGTCACTTTGGAAAAAGCCATTGCGATTTAATAAGAGTTCAGACGTAATGTTGCGCACATATAATAAACCGAAGATRTTTGAGTTCCACAAAGGGTGTAATAATGGAAAAAAATTGTTCTTAACAAATATTTTCATAAAGTTGAAAATGTAAGGGGTGCAAAGCATGTTACAGCACTCACAATAGCCATTAATGTGCGCGCAAGGTAGAAACTTTGAAAGCTCTTACTAAACTGTAGGAATTTGTCTGCTCTTGGCATTCACCGCGTGCCTTATGACTGCAAAATAACCATAACAGGCCTACAGTGAACACTAGGAGATCGACAAAGCAGTTCTCTGCATAGTTAACTGTCCACAATTTCATCGTATTTAAAACCAAAAACTTGAGAAATCTTGCAGCTCGAAATTAGTTAAATTAATATTTGTACTGGTTCAGAGCTCTTAAAAGTTCGTTTAGCAGATGAGTCGCGAGTTGTAGCTGGAGAAGAAGCAAAAAATTGAAGATCAGAAGTTTAGTGCCAGTTCTGGCAAATTATTTGTATAATACCAGAATTGATTATGAGTCAGGCTTATTACAATTACATTGTACATTAGCAAAAGCATTGAAAACTAATTTGAAACTGAAAAAAAAAATAATTAATTTACCTCATTTTCAAAGCATTTCTATTTTTTTCAGAATGTCTGGACTGTTTTACTTTTTATTTTAAAATTTTTATTGAAACAACTTTCGAGTTATCTGAGTTGAAAATGATTATGGTAAAGTTTACATAAACATTGTGATAAAAAATCGCAACATGGATAGGAATTGGGTTTCTGAAAGGAACCATAATATGAACAAGCCGTTATTAATTATTTCCATATTTCGATCAATGAGGTCAGACTGAGATATGATAGAAAAGCCTCAGGGTTGATGGTATAAAAGAGGAACAGTGGCGAGGCTAAGCATAAAGTTTCACTTGCACTTAAATTTTTATTAACATAAATCTATTCACGATAATAATATATACAAGATCGATTTTCAAATATCGCTGGAGCATTTTGCCTATTATTTCTAACCAATTTGCGAACAACTTTCAAACCAAAAAACTTTAGTGGTCTTAACGATTCATCTTAGAATAATTTGTTTCATTCGGACAAGTCATTTGCATGTTATCATTGAACATATCTTACTGAACAAAATTAGATTTACTGTTAAATTTTGTGTCTCTGTTAAACTCAACATATAATTGAGTTGCAATAAATTTGTCCCAAATATTTTGATATTTTAATGTAATTTACTTACGTTAAATTTTAACTGTGCAAGGTAAAGAAAGAAAGTCACGATATCTCCACATGATGGTCCAGTTGAAAAAGCAAAATTTTAAATCTGAAAATTGGCTTTTTTTTTCCCGCTTTCAACATTATATTGATATTAAATTAATACTTAAAAAATAAATTAATATAAAAAACACATATTTAGCTGTCTCAGGGGAATTACCAATGATTGTGACGAGACTTGCGTGACTAAGAACAATTATTGGCCAGCCATACTCTAGCTCACGAGCAAAAAGTTCCGATTGTTTACAGGATAAACATCCAAATATCAACTTCAAGTATCTAAAAATAAACAGTTGTTTACAGTGTTAGCGAAATGCTTTTATTATTCGAAGCAAAGTGGATTGGGTGTCGTACGTTCATTATGAATTACTCAAAAAACGTCTACTACTAATTTATAGAGTTTAAATTGGCCCATGTAGCTTATAAACAGAACCAGCATTAAACAGTTAGATTTTCAAAATGGCTGATTTGTTTAAAAGCTCCATAGGCATTAAAGACTCTACCATACTCTTTCTGTGT